AAATAATGATAAATCCCTTAAAGACCGCCATTTCACACCAGTTGACATCTCTAAAAATTTTAAAGTTTTGAAGAAATGTAATTTAAAATTTAATGTCTGGTGTATGAAATTTTCTGCATGAGGGATTTAAAACCTACTCTCAATGTCCAAAGTGACTCTATAAAAGCTAGGCTATTCGTTGATTCTTAATGACATTGTTTATTTAAACAATTGATTTTTACAACAATACATTATGCTAATCATGGTCCTATATATTTGTACTTATTATCATTCATTTTGTATCACTTGATAATGGAGTCACAATGACCCCGAAACGTCGTCGTGAATTAAATCAACAACTTATACGTTTCGTTTCCTTAAACTATATTATTTCATGTTTTTCCAAACAACTGCTCTTGTGTATTGAAAGTCGTGAATTAATGGAGGTATACGTGGAACACTTTAATTTCACAAAGAGATGCACAAATTTGACATTGAAGTCACCCGACGAAAGAACTGAATCAGACTGACCGTGTACTCGGTAAATAGCAATATGAGAACATCTGTAAAGACCGACACAACTTTTACCTACAACCATCGCACGAAACCTTATAGCACAGCTACAACTGCCGTAGGGATTTAAAACAATTCTTTAATATCCCCATGACAGTTGTCACCATGTTGTAAGGATAACTTTGAAAAGTTCTTTGATTCAGTACGATCAGCGGTCAAAAGAATGCAAAATAGACCTTAAGGTTATTTCTAAATTGAGAGTCGACAGTAGCAGCTTACTTCCAAGGATCTTCCTGCCTAGATAGCCTCCTTTAAACGCACTATAACTTTCCTTTATTTCGATATCATGATCTAGTACAATCTGCTTTTAGGATAACGCCATTAAAAATAACAATATTTATTATATAGCTCGGATGTAATACAGCCTTTTGCAAAAATTATGAGAATTGTTGAAATATCTAAATATCATAATATCGAGTGCATGATGGGTAATCCCGCGCGATGCCCTTAGTCCCTTGTTTTTGTAGTTTAGTTTTTTTTTGGCGACAGACTTATCCGTAGTTCTGAAAATTTTCTCGATGTCAACAATGAATTATTCTAGCAAACCCGCGTGTTCCGGACAATATATGGATATGGATATTATGATATTTAGATATTTAGACAATTCTCATAATTTTTGCAAAAGGCTGTACACGATTTCATTGGCTAAAAAGCGGGCCATACTTTCCCGTACGGACCAGATGAAACGAGAAAAAACTTTTTTTATCTTAAAAGGCTCGCTTTCTCTCTTTTTGTAGTTGTACTGCATTAAAAAGAGTCAAAAATGAATCCAAATTTTGCGACCAAGGTTTCTTAGGCTTTTCTTTTTTCCTTCTATTAAGTACGAACAAAAACGTATTTTTATGTCCGATTCTCTATTAATTTTACAATTTTTCCCTGAAAATGCTATATAATAAATATCTTATTAACCTCGCTCGCTCGAGCCGTACTATGTACTTATTGACTGAGTGGGAGGGCCGTACGGGAAAATATTTGGCTCGAGGTTATGCCGTACAAATGACCGAGAGCCAAATATTTTCCCGTACGGCCCGACCTAACTCAGTCAATAAGCATTTTATCATATGACAGCGTTTTTTAATGTAAAAAAA